TATTAGAGCAGATCAAAAGGGGATCAACAACGAAAACAACCACACAATAAAATCAAGCATGCGCTGACGTTATTTTAATGTTGCATTGAGAGGACGCTTGTGTGAGTACTTTTTTATATCTTAGAAACCTATTTCCTCTCCCCCGAACGAAAAACAAAATCATCTTTTTAAAACTCACCAGCAGTACCAGCAGGCGTAATCTCTCGTAAGTGTCTCACCAAATCATCCCGTTTCTCAGATTTAGCTCTCAGGGCAAGGGCACGAATCATAATTCTCGTCTCAGGCTCTGGACTGACCAAAGATGCTGGTTCCAACTGCAGAGCTTCTCGAAACTGAATCACGATATCCTTGACATCACTTGCTGAATTGAGTGGAATGGACTGGATGGAAGTATTGATACTCTCGGGCAGCGCAAGATCTTTCCGTTTCGTTCCTCGAAAATGATTAGAACGAATTGAAATAATAAAAAAAAAAAATGCAATAAGATAGAGTTAAGCAGACGGAATGTAATTTGCTAAGGCCCAGAACTTTTGAGTTGGTTAAAAGTCTGGTTTAGGAGAGATAATTTTATGCTAATTTCTGTAAAATTATACGAGAAGGGATGTTTACAAAATAAGCCCTTCTTTTAACTCCGACATTTTTATTATGTGATAATGAAAAAAAGGACCCTTACCTTCTACGGAAAATATGCCTTTTGCACTGACGAAGCCTCGACTCGTTACGTGAAGAGCTTGCAGCTGCTAAAAAAACAAATTAAATCCACTTTTAAACTACTTTTATATACATAAAAAATATTAGCGTTATATTAACCCAAAATATTAGTTCTTATCAACCCAAAGATGAGACTGACAACGTACCTGATTCGTTGACTTGCCGGCACCTTCCTTTTCTTCTCCAAATAAGAACCAACATTTGAACTGCTGGATCCGAATCCTGCAATCTCTAGGAAGGATACGTCCTGGCCTGTTGCAATGTTGACGCTCTCGCAAATCAGATTCTGACAGAAAGTGTAGACACTCACATCCACGCACGTTATGATCGCGGCATTTTACCGACCCTGGTTGAGAACAGACTGGGCAGCAGACACACATATCGTACTTCACGTTGTTGAGCCAGTGAAACTCTTTCCGCATGCATTCGAGTATAAACCTCAATTTCCAGGGAACAGCACGGGATAGATCTCCTCTTTTCTCGTCATTGTCAACGCTATAAAGAGCGACTTCAACGGCTGAGGGATGGCACCAAAAAATGACAGAGATACCTTGGTCTGGAAGAATGTGAAACATGGCAAAATTATGAAACAACCGTGGGCTCATTTCGCTGTTCCATTCTTCGCCACACCACTGGAAGAAATGTAGGATAAGTCGGGAAAATAGACCAGGAGGTACTCGACCTGATGCAAATGTTACAAAAAGAGATGGAATGTTTACAGAATCGAGAAGCTGAAGGACGTCATCTGTTGGGGGTGACATCAACATGGACGGCACAAGGTACTGCTTGCTATCTTTAGACGACGGCCAGGGGGAAAGCAAGCATAATCTCTCCATGATGGCAATGAGGCTGTTGTGACTTTCTTGGTTTTCGAGCAAGTCTCTCCAAGCATGGTCAATGAGTTTTTCATCCAAGATTCCGGTTTTTTCCAGTTGGATCCAGAGGTCTTTGACAGCATGCTCCGTGTCTTTAAAACGCCTTACAGTAATTACGTTTTTGAGGACATCAACAAGCCACTGAGGATCTAATATCACCATCCTTTCCAACTCTTGAGAACCGCTAAAATGAATCACAATTCTCTGATCATGCAAAAAGTTCAACAAAGTGGAAAACTCATCTTCTTGGATTCCACAGTCTTCAAATGCAATCCTCTTGGCTTCTTCAAGTGTTATCCACTTATCATGCTTTTTGCGAAGCTTGTTTTCATACCTCAACCACTTCACTGGAACTTCTTCTTTCGTCAGCTGCAGTTCCTTTGCAACAGCAAGGATCTCTTTTCTCAGTCGCTTAACTTCGATACATTCTTCCTCACTCCCAGACTTTGTATTATCCACGACGAAAACATCTTTATACAGATGTTCCTTGTAGATCTTGGACTGCAAAAAGCCATACGTTTTTAGAGCAAGGTCTCTGGCGTTAGATCCACGAAACGGCACGTCAGCATGGGTGCATACCAGGAATACTGGGGGAAGCCTCCATGGCAAAACATGACTAACATTCGAAGCGGTCTCTTGGGAGCTGGAATTCTCATCCGGACTTACCAAGGAATAAATTGATGACATCCAAAAGTCCAGATAATCAAGGTTCGTTTTACTGCAGTCAATGTCCTCTTTGTTCTCGAAAAGTCCTGTTTTGACAGGCGGGGTGGCTTTCTCGCCTGGATCACGACTCAAATCAGACACCAAAATATAGATAGCTTTTTCCGTCAGGAAAATTGGATGGGTTTCGTAGTACACTGATTGTCCACCAAAATCCCACAGAACTGAGTAGATGTTATCTTCGTGGTTTGCACTTTCCTCCTCTTGAAGCATTTTTTCAACCAGCCTGGCCACTTCCTCAGGTAATTTTCTGTGTAAGGACTCGATATTTCTTGAGAGCTTAGTTGGGCCTCGAGTTGATATTGATCCATCCGGAGGCTCCAACTCTGACTCTGAATCTGACTCTGAGTCAAAATCCAACCATGGCACCAACCACGATGGAGTTGCCATTTGTTCCCTTAATGATTCACTGATCACTTTCGCTGTTGCTATGTGTTCAAATTGATCTTCTGATTCAAATTCTACTTCTTCCTTCACTTTTCCGCTCTTCCAAATCTCTTTTGATACTTTAAAGTACAAAGAGTCAGTCTCTATTCCGACTGTGCTTTCCTCTTCTTCATTGAAATTTTCTCCTTTTAAGGACTTTTTTAGACTAGTTTTTCCTGTCCGCTCCTGTCCGATGAACATCACTGGTATTCTCTTGATGCAGGCCTTTCCCCCCGTTAAGGCTTTGTTGTATGCCCTAACAGCTTCAGGACCTCGAGCATAAATTTCCAAAGGGGCTAAGGATACAATTTTTAAATTATGCGTTAGCAGGTATAATAAC